GTGCTGGGGGCTGGCTGTGGGGGAGGGGAGAGGGGTGGGGCTGGGAGGCTGCTGGAGTCACGCTGTCTCCAGCTACTGGGACTGAGTGGGTCTGGGGCGTCGCGGGAGGCCTTCCCCGAGGTTGTCGCGGTTCCTCTTGGCCGCAGGGGCGTTGGAGCCCGTCCAGGGCAAAACGCTAGCGTGGCGTCCTGAGTTGTTGCTGACACTCAAGTGTGGTCGGTAGAACAGCTTCCTTGGTTTCCCAACCGACCTTTCCTACGTTTTGGGGTTAAAACGTATCGAAATGATGGTGATGGTGGTCAGCACCCAGGTTGTTCTTCATAAGGCGGAGAAAGTCGTCCCCACCCTGTCCCAGTTGTCGTGAGGACTTGACATTTTCTGGTCTGAGAAACCCAAGTGGCTCGGAACACTGATTTACACTCCGGCGGAACGTCCCGTGCATGCCAGGCTCTGGGGGTCTCAGCCAATAAGGGGCCCAGGGCTCATGCTCATGGACAGGGTGGTGTGGGCTCCAAGACCCTGAGCCGGGGAGCCAGTGGGGCCCGCGGACAGAGCTGACGTGTTTGGGACAGTCCAGAGAACCTTGTGAGAACGTCAAGGGCTGGAGCAAGTGTGCTGCCCCTTCAGCAGGTGAACAGATGGACGAACTGGCCCACGCAGGTGACAGACAGACCGTGGCCCATCCGGCACTAAAAACGGGCCATCGAGCCGCACAGAGACACGGAGGAGCCTCAGACGCACAGCACTGGGTGACAGAAGCCAGGCTGAGGAGGCCACACACGGGGTGGTTCCAAGTCCAGGATGTTCTGGACAAGGCAGGACCACGGAGGCACGGCTGCCGGGGTGGGGGAGGGTGAATGGGGGGAGCACAGGAATTTCGGGGCCGTGGGTCTACTCCGGACGACACCGTGGTGGGGGGCAGGTGTCCGTGACATTCGTCCGAACCCACGGGGTGTGCCGCACCAGGAGTGACCTCGTGTCCGCTGTGGACCGTGGTTCGTCACGTTCGGTGCTGGGTGGGGATGTCGATAATGGGGCCGCCGGTGCGTTTATGGGGAGAAAGTGCTGCAGGGAATCCTGCTAGGTGGCCAGGGTCGAAATGGCTACTTACAATAGACCTGAGGAGTCCTGTAGAAGGGAAGTTTGTGTCCTTTGTTCGAAATTAAATTCTCTAACGAAGAAGGTGCAGAGAGGGCATCGTCCATTTCAGTGCTTGGTTTGCTGTTTGAGAGTCCGAATCATGCTCGCCCCTCCGATTTCTTTCTTTTTTACTAAACGTCAAGGATACGTAGCCATTCGTACCTTAGGCTTTAAGCTCTTTCTGACGTATGTTTTTAATAGCGTTGTCTGGACGCAGATCCCGACCCGCCCGCCCACCCACCCTGACCAGCCTGTTCCTTGTTAGTGATGTTGCGTGTAAATGAGAGATTAACGTGGCCACGGGGCTCCGCTTTCCTTCCTTCGACTTGCTGCGACCCCGTTCGAGGTCAGTACTGAATCCTCGTGCGTGAGCACGTGCTCTCCGGGCCTTCGTCACCTCCCTGCCTTTCCCAGGTGCGCGGGCCGCGAGCCAGGCGCCTCCTCTGTACCCACGGCTCCAGTTCAAGCAGGCTCACGTGTCCCTCCCCCCGGGAGTGCCCCGAGGTGCAGGGACAGATGTCATCGGCCTGGCCCGTTCAGCCAGTGCAGCACGTGGCTCTTGATCTGCGACTTTGAGCCCCACGTTGGGCGTAGAGGTTACCTAAATAAATAAATAAAGATTTTCTCCTAATTTTCAGTTTTTGGCCGTTTGACTTGGCGATGTGTGGGTGTGGTTTTCTTTTGTTTTCTGTTGGTTGGTGCTGAGCTTCTTGAACCTGTACGTGCACATCTCTCACTACCTGTGGGGGAGTTTCAGCCGTTCTCGTTTCAGATGTGTTCTCTGTGCCGCCCTTCCTTTCCTGGGACACCGGTTACATGCCTGTCCTGCCGCGTGCTCTTGTCCCACAGACCTGGGGCTCTGCCCCTCTTTTCTCGAACTTTTCTCCCCTTCAGACCGGACGGTTACCATTGTCGCACCTTCAGATGCGCTGACTTCGCTCTCCAGCTCCCATTTGCCTTCAGTCCATTCCGTGCATTCTTTGTTTCAGAAATTATCTTTCTAGAACCTCCGCTGGCTTATTTCCTGCCACTTGTGTTCGCTGAGATTTCTCCTCCTCTCCTTCTTGGTGAGCGCCTCCTTTTTCCTGGTTCCTGGGAGCACGGTCACAGGGGCCGAGCTGAACCCTTCGTGTGCTAATTCTATCCTTTGGGCTACCTCGAGGCCAGTGTCCGTGGATCGTCTCTTTTTCTGGGGTACGGGTGACATGGTCCCGTTTCTGGTTTTGAGTAGCTTCAGACCGAATCCTGGACGTTGTGACTGACACGTTTTTGGAGGCTCCAGACTGTGTTATCTTCTCTGAGGCGTGTTGACTGGGGGGCAGGGTTACTTTAAGGGGCAGTTAGCTTGTTGTCTGGGCTGAGACTCGAGCTCTGCCCTCCTCCCTGCGGGCAGGGGGCGGGTGTGGTCGTGTTCGTTTCTCTTTGCTTTAGCTGGAGCGTGCTGTGCGTGCCTAGCTCTGGGGTCAGCCTCGGATTCGGGCTGAGTTTCTATGTTAGCGTGTGGGCAGCATCGCCCCCCCACCAGTCCCCCGCCCCCTGGGATTTCCTTCCTTGAGTGGCAGCTGCCCTGTGTTCTGGTCCTGGAAGCCAGGAGCCCCAGGCCTTGGCTGCTCTGTGGGGTGCTTGCTTGAGATAAAAGCCGGGAGAGACATTACCCGGTGCCTTTGTCTCCAGATAGTCGTTTTAAAGCCGTACCTGGGGGAGCCTGGGACTGATGGGAGCTCCGTGGACGGCGGCAGAAGTGGACTCCGCCTGGCTCTCCCGAAAGCCGGGGTGGGGAGGTCCCTAGACTGTGTGCAAACGCGTCAGCGGCAGCAGAACATTTGAGTTCGTGCTTGGGGGCCGTCACGAGTCCTGCCACTGCACGGTCAGCCCCCCCCGTTCTTGAGTGCGCGCCTGGGAGCGCTGCCGGGCCATCACCTGGCCCCGTCTCCCGTGCGTAAGTGTGAGTCCCCCCACACTTGTTACTGTCTGCCTGTCCTTTCCATTTCGTGCATTTGTTCATTCAGAGTAGGCTCCGCGCCCAGTGTGGGGCTTGAACTCTCGACCCCGGGATCAAGAGTTGGACGCCCCACCCATTCAGCCAGACAGCCCCCTACTTTCTCCCCTTTTAACTGGTTAATGGTCATGATCCAGGATGCGGGAAGGGCCGTCTGTGTGCAAGGACAGCAAGTGAAGATTCCCAAGTGGGATTTAGTAACTGGAAGCCTGTTGGAAGGATACAGTGACACTTGCTCCGTTGCACCGACTCTCGATCGTAAAATATTCATGACCTCTTCCCTGGCTGAGAGAGGGCTCCGATGGCTCCTGTCCCCAGGAGCCTGTGCTTCAGGCAGAGGAGCGTCTCGGGGCCGAGCGGGGTGTGGCCTCGGGGGACGGGAGTGCAGGGTGCACGGCCAGTGTACAGGACACTTGGAGCAGGAGTCCACCATGGGCTTGCCACCCTGGTCTCTCGCGATGCGGTCACCCTGGGGACGGCATCCAGGGGCTGACCACTGAGTGCTGTTGGCCACATGACGGACGGGAGGCTCCTCGTGCTGCATGGAGTGCTGGGCACGTGCGGGGCTGGGGCACTGACCCGACAAACTCGTTCCGAGCCCTGCGGTGGCCACTCGCTTCGTGGCTCCTCTCTGAGGCCTCTTCGGGGCAGGGGTGAAAGGAGCCTTGCGCGCCCCCCCCCCCCCCCCCCCCCCGGGCCCCGCGGGGGGCGTGGGGGGGCCCCCCTCTGGGGGGCGGGGGGGGGGGGGGGGTGAGGGGCGCGGCGCCCCCCCCCCCCCCCCCGAGGGGCACGCCAGTGGCTCTTGACTTCGTGTGTCAGTACTGCTTCGGGTCAAGCCCGTTTGAGTGGTAGACGTGCTGAATCAGCGAGGAAACCCGAGGGAATCTTCAGACCGTGTCCCTGCAACCCCTGCGGCGTGACTCCTGGAGTTGAAAAAGCGGGCAGTTTGCAAGTGTCCATCCTTCAAACGGATAAACACGAGGTGGCCTACGTGTGTGTGGGGGAGACAGAGCAAGGCGCAGACCCTGTGCTACCGCGGGCACGAGCCCCGACATGGTGCCCGTTGAGAGAAGCCAGCGGGCGCCACAGAGACGCCCAGACGAGCTCGCCGCCGCCAGGGCAGGACCGGACGGGAGAGCTGGGTGTCGAGCAGCCGGCGTCAGCGGGTGGACGGCGGGACCTGGGAGTTACTTCTGGGCCTTGTGCGAGTCTCAGTGCGAGCTGTTAAAACTAGAGGACCCCGTGTCTTAGTGTTGTTCTGTGTTGAAGTTCTTTTTTAACTTTTAAAGCGTGGCGACACAGAAAACCACCGCTAGGGGGCGCCTGGACGGCTCAATGAGAAGAGGGCATAGGATTCTTGGTCTCGGGGCTGTGAGTTAAGCCCCGCGTTGAGTGCAGACAGTGCTTAAAAAGAAAGAGAAGGGAAACGTCACCTGTGCACACAAGTTGCGAAAATGGAATAACGTGTTGCGGCACCTGCTTCCGTGGCAGGGAGTCCGGCTCTCACCGTCGTCCTGTCCTCTCAGGACTGAGGGACCACCGGGCGTCTTGCCGAAGCGGCTTCTTTAAGTGCCAGCTCTGTTAGATGCTCGCGTGCTGTACGAGTCACCCGTGCGGTTTCTCGCCGGTGCGTTCAGGAGTCGGGCAGCCGTCACCGCAGTGAGCTTCAGAGCGCTGTGTCACCCCAGCCCCCCTCCCCAGCCCCCGACACCCACCAGCCTGCTTCCCGTGTGTGTGGATGTGCCTGCTCGGGGTGTTTCACGCCAGCGGAATCACATGGCGGGCGGCCTCTTGCGTTTGCCTGCTTTCTTGACCGTTTTAGACACTTGGGATTTTCCAACGCTGTCTGCTTCCCTTTTAGGCAAAGTATATCTCTCAGTGCATTGATGAAATCAAGCAAGAGCTGAAGCAAGACAACATCGCAGTAAAAGCCAACGCGGTCTGCAAGCTGACCTACGTAAGTACTGCGGACCGTTTGCTCGGGCGGAGCCCCCCCAACCCCGACGCCGTCAGGCGGGTTGTAGATTCCACCATCCCTCCATCCGTCCTTCTGTCCACCCGTTTATCCGTCCACCGTCCGCTTCTACCCGCCTGCCAGACATTGACACTGTCATCCCCAGGCGCCGGCCTTGGCACAAAGTTGAGGGAAGGCACACCGCGACGACCCTGGGGCTCGGGGCATGGTGGGCCCCGCCTGGCCTGGGCCAGGCCCCCCTCTTCTGGCCCCTCTGCTGGTCAGAAGGGAGGTAGAAGGCTTGCCAGGGGCGCCTCGTCACTTTGGGGGTGTGGGGAATTTTAACCAGTACTCCTGGACGCTAGTATTTCAACCACAGGCCTTCCTCCTGTGTTTGTGATTAACACGGTCCTGTGGTTTTCAATGGGAAGGCAAGCCCGTCAGAAGAAGAAATGAAATGCCCCGGGGTGTGTGCGTGGAGAGGCCCGCCTGTTCGAGAAGCGTGTGGCGGTCCTATAGGAGCTGAGACAGAATGTTGGACGTTGGGGCTCAAGCCTCGGCGTGTGAGTGAAAATCACTGCGCCTGTCTCTTCAACAGTTACAAATGTTGGGCTATGACATCAGCTGGGCTGCCTTCAACATCATAGAAGTGATGAGCGCCTCCAAGTTCACGTTCAAGGTGAGGCGGGCGAGCTTGCTTTGAGACCTGAACCGCGTGGTGGCGGAGGGTGAGGGTGTCCGTGGCCGGGGGCCACGCCACGCAGAAACAGAGTGTGGGACACGAGCGGCCTGTTCCAATCACACCTCCACGCCTCAAACATCACCAGCTCACGTTTGTCACGTTATTTGTTAACGCCATTTGTGTGATTTCCTTTTTCAACTTCGAGGAATGTCAGTGAAATGATGGGTCCGTAGGATTATGTCTGTGTATCTTATTTTTAGTGTTTATTTATTTATTTATTTATTTAATTTTTTTTTTTCAACGTTTATTTATTTTTGGGACACAGAGAGACAGAGCATGAACGGGGGAGGGGCAGAGAGAGAGGGAGACACAGAATCGGAAACAGGCTCCAGGCTCTGAGCCATCAGCCCAGAGCCTGATGCGGGGCTCGAACTCCCGGACCACGAGATTGTGACCTGGCTGAAGTCGGACGCTTAACCGACTGCGCCACCCAGGCGCCCCTTTAGTGTTTATTTTTGAGAGAAAGCGTGTGCATGGGGGAGGGACGGGGGCAGGGGGGCAGTGGATCTGAAGCAGGCTCTGAGCTGACAGCAGCTAGCCAGATGCGGGGCTCAAACCCATGACCGTGAGATCATGACCTCAGATGCTCAACTGACTCAGCCACCCTGGTGCCCTATATTTTTTAACGCCAGTAAAGATAAATGTGTAACTGTCCAAAAAACAAGAAAGCACTGACGGTCTTGCACAGAGGCTGCCACTTGTCACCTGACCCCAGGGCCTCGTGGTCCTTTCTGAGCGTTTTCCTTCACCTCACAAGGGTCCGGCTTGTGAGGGATCTGGAGCACTGCCTCCTCACTCGATATCATAACTCGTAAATATTCTGAAAAATGATCGGCCGTCTGTGTGGCCCAGTTGAGGGCATTCCGTAGTTTTCCTGGGGGTCTCACCAGCCGGGCAGCTGAGACCATTTCCAGGTCCCCTGGGCCTCGCGCCCGCCTAAGGGTCACTGCCTGGGTCAGCCCCGCTCTCCCTCTGAAGGACACCGTCATCCTGCCCACGGGTTACTCTCGGTGAAGAAACAAAATGTTGTGTTGCCAAAATCGGGAGGCGCTCTGCACGTGTACGAGAGCATCTCGTCTGTGTGTCAGTGTGACATAGGTGTCTGCGTCAGCCTGGCAGAGGGACCCGAGTGCTAAGAAAACCCAGTGCTTGTGATGACTTACGGATTCGATCGTAAAGGGAGCTCCTGGCTGCCCAGGAGGCTGTCAGGACACATGCTGGGGAGAGGACCTTATGAGAACTTGCATTTCAAAGGCTGGGTCTGGAACTCAGGAGCAGTTTCCTCCTCCTCCTCCTCCTCCTCCTCCTCCCCCTCCCCCTCCTCCTCTCCCTCCTCCCTCCTCCTCCTAGAATGACTTTCTGGCACCCGCCCACCAGTGTTCCCGCGGCCAGCTGCAGGCTGTCACTGCCTGACCAGGGGGCTGCTTGGCACAGAGCTCGGGGGGCGGCCTGGGGGCTTCTGCCCAGGGCGCCTGGCCCCTGCCTCGTGTGTGACGCCCTGTGTCTGACTCACAGCGGATCGGCTACCTCGCTGCTTCCCAGTGCTTTCACGAGGGGACCGATGTCATCATGCTGACGACGAACCAGATCCGCAAGGTAGGCCGTCCTTGGCCCTCACTGAGTGCCCTCGAGTCACCCTGTCCCCGAAGTATCCTCCACGCTGGCTTTTCTGCTCTGAACGAGCGACGAGTCGAAAGCAGTGAGGCCCATAAGCTCTCGCCGTCGTGACCCCCTTCGCAAGCCTGTGGCTCGTGAATGTGGCCAAGGCATCGGCAGGAGACGCCCAGGAGTGGTGTGGCGGGCCCGTCTCCCTGCCCTCGGGCAGTGGCGAGGCTGGAGGTTGCCAGACATCCCCCTTCCCTGCCCCGGGGGTGGGGGTTGGGGGGCCTCTGGGAGTTGGAGGGCTGTCTCAGGGCCCTGCCCGCGGGGGCCTCCCTGCCTGCGGGCCCTTTTAGTCACGCTGCGTACACATCTCAGTCGCGTGTAAGTTTTTGTCTTAGTCTCGAAGATCACCGAGTGGTAAATTTCTTCCTCGGCCGCAGAGCTTCGAGCATCTTTTGTGCAGTAGTGAGGGGGTGTCAGGCAGAGGCAGAGCTCACCGGCGGTGGGGTTTGCGGGCCGGACCCCGTGAGTTGCAGGGGCACCCGGTGACCCGGGCCGGGCTCCTGGCCGGGGTATGTGTGGGTGCTTGGCGTGGGCCAGGCCACTGGTCTGAGCATGCGAGCCCGTGGTCATGAGGAGGTAGCGGTGGTCAGGTTGTATGGCGGTAGCGGACGCCATGGGGCCTCGAGGGGCAAGCCTGGCCGGGAGCGGCCGCTGGGGGAGCCTACCGGGGGGGGGGGGGGGGCTCCGGCTGCTTGGACCCCCAGGCGCCAGCCCGCCCGCCCGGCGAGAACAGTCTCTGGCCCAGTGCCAGGGCGCAGCCGTGCCCCCACCCACCCCTTTGTAAGGACCTCCGTTCAGACATCTCTGCGTGGACATGTACTAGAGGCGGGTTGCTTAGGTCTCTGCTGTCAGCACAGAGCCCGACATGGGGCCCGATCTCACAAACGCATGAGATCACAACCTGGGCCAAAATGAAGAGTTGGACATTGAACTCACTGAGCCCCCACGTGTGTCATTTAAATAAACCCGTGACTTCTGAAACACGGCTTCCGCAGACCGGCCCCACCCCCGTCCCCTCGGCTGGGGCTCCTCCCACTTAATGGTGACTCAGGCGTCCTCCCCAGAAACTTCTATCTCTGAAAAGCCCCGCGTAAGTCTCGCTGAAGTAGGAGCCTGGCCGTCCAGGGCCTGGGCTCCCCCTTGGTTCTGTCCTGTCAGCCTGAGCTGGAGTGGGTTTCCGAGGTTGGCCTCTTCAGGTTGTCCCCACAGTCTGGAAGGTCAACTCCTAAAATGCCTCTCAGTCTGTTTTTACCACGTATAGATGGGGTTTGGGGAGTTCCTTAGGAAAGCATCCCCAGGGCAGGTTTCTGGCACAGACGATGCTTCCCTGGCGTGGAGGCCGGGCCCTTCTGCGTTGTGTAACCAGAGGCCTCAAGCAGCTGCCGGCCCGAAACACGAGCCTTGGGCCGTAGGTGCCGTGCCTTTGGGCGGGGACGGAGGAGTGGCCCCTGCTTCTGCTCTGGGGACCCCCGCCGCAGGCCTGGGGGGCGGTTAGGGCCAGCCGGACGTGCCTTCCCCTCACGTCGGGGATCACAAACAGGCGGGCAGCTCGCGAGCCGGGCACTGGTACAGGCTCGGCCCTGCCTGTGGTCACGGCCCTGGGACGCCGGGCTGTGTCTGTGCGGAGGGCGGTGCCCGCCGTGGGCCTCTGTGCCCAGCGGGGCGGGGACGGCTCTCCCACCGTCCCAGCTCTTCCGGGACAGTCCCAGAATGGGCTGCTGGTCGCTACTCCTCAGACAGGCACAGCCCCAGACTGCGGGCCGGGAGCCCGTGATGCCCGGGTGGCACCTGCCCGCTGACCCTCCTCCTTCCCTTTCCAGGACCTGAGCAGCCCCAGCCAGTACGACACTGGCGTTGCACTGACTGGCCTGTCCTGTTTTGTTACCCCAGATCTTGCCAGAGACTTGGCCAACGACATCATGACACTGGTGAGTTTGCGAGAGTACCCGACCCCCCTTGGCCTTTGCTCCGTGACGTGACTTGGTCCGTCCAGGTGCCTGGAAAATGGAGGTTAACCGTCACACCAGGGACACTCGGGCACGTGGGAGTGGGCCGGGTTCCCCCGGAAGAGACGGGGAACCGGGTTGCCGTGTCCCCCACCCCCTCACCGGTGGGGCCCCGGGCTCCGGCTGTCTCCACCCTCACATCCCTTCGTCACCTTCTTTCACTGGCCCTGCCCGGGGCCCGGGGCGAGCGCCCGCGTCCTCCGGCGCGTCCCTGCCACTTACCGCCTCCCTGCCCGGTGGTGGCCGTGGCGGTTGTGGCAGCAGGCCCTGCGCGTGGCTAGCATGGTTCTTCCGGCTCCACCCCTGATGCCGTGTTCTCCTCTGGCCACAACTTGACTTCCGGTGGTTCGGTCCACCTGAAGGGCCAGGACCCCACCCAGGGCTCCTTTCTAGGCTGTCGGAGCATCTTTCTAAGACGCAGACGTCCTCTTAGAAATCGTGGTCCTCAGGGGCACCAGCCGTACGCCTGAATCTTCAGCTAACTGGGAGGCCTTTTCCCATCCGGTTTTATCTGGGCAGAGTAGAAGGGCGGCTGCGTTCCCCCTGGACAGGTCCGTCCGTCCAGGTCAGCCTGTTTGCCGTGTGGACGGATCAGTCTCAGCCTGTGGTCTCAGACTGCGAGTGCCAGCAGCTTCTAGAACGGGGGCCGGTGCGCCTCGGCCCTGCCCCATGCAGCTGGCCCGGTCGTGACTGACTTTGCCCACACTCGGCCCCGCCCACTCATTCACATCGTGTCCCCGGTGGCTCTCGAGAGCCGGAGCAAGAGTTCTGCCCTTCCGGCCCAGACGGTGCTGGGTCGTGGGGCTGGGAGCTCTCTCGGGGCAAGGTCCTCAGGGCCCATGCGCGTCAGAGGCAGGAGGCCTTTCTGGCCAGAGCAGAGTCCCGAAAGGACAAGAGTCCGAGACGGTCACGTGTGGAGGGGGCCCTGGCACCCTGCTGTGGGAACGGGCCTCGGCAGGCGGAGGCTCGTGAGGCAGAGGCTTGCTTTCCAGTTCAGGGCCCCGTCCCTCTGTCTGTCCCTCATCGGGTTCCAGCCAGTGGATGACAAGGGTCTCAGCCTCCGGAGGGCAGACCTGGGGTCACAGGCACAGGGAAGCAGGTTTCAGTTCTGTCCACGACACTATCATGTGACCCCTGGGCTGGGGGCAGTGGAGCAGGTGAGCAGGCCTGGCTTGGAGGCCAGAAACCAGATGAGCTGGAGAGAGGGCTTTCCTTTGGGTGACGGAGGGGAGACTCGGGCAGGTGCAGGACAGGTGAGCAGGACAGGTGAGCTGGGTGGGTGCGGGGAGGGCGACAGGGGCAGCGGGGGAGGTGAGCAGGGCCGGCGCCGGGAGAGTAGCGGTGCGGCGGGGAGGCCGACCGGACCTCTGTCCCTGCAGATGTCGCACACCAAGCCGTACATTCGGAAGAAGGCTGTCCTGATCATGTACAAGGTGTTCCTGAAGTACCCTGAGTCCCTACGCCCCGCGTTCCCCCGCCTGAAGGAGAAGCTGGAGGACCCCGATCCCGGTGTGTCGATCGGCGAGGGGGTGGCTGGGGGCGCAGGGCTCCGTGGCATCTGTGAGCCCCTGGTGCAGGATGCTGCGAGGAGGGCGTTGAAGGGCCACTGGGTCCCGGTCTCGCGTCCTGGGATCTCTCCAGACGGCGCCCCCTTCCCTCCTGGCACCTGCTTCCCGCGCTCTGGCCTGGAACCCGCCATTTCTCCAAGGAGCCTGGCCCCGTTTGTTGGCGTGGGGTTTAGGCACCGAGCTCTGGGTGCTGGGTGTCCCCTTGCCGCCGGGCAGCCCTTTTTCCAGCCTCCCAGTAGACCCCCGCCGTCCCCACGCTGGGGAGCGCCCGCGTCTGCTCACACCTTAGCGCTCGTGACTTGATGCCGGTGTCTTGGCCCCGGTCCCCACCACGGGGCTCGTGCCTACTTGTCCTCTATGAATCCTTCCCTCGTTGAGAGCAGTGTCAGGTGGTTTCTGTGACACAAGGCAGGTCCCAGCTTGTCTCTCGGGAGAGCCTGCCTGGTCTTCAGGAGAATCACAGGCCGTGGAAAGTTTTGGTAGGAAATTAGGAGCGAGGCGGCAGGCGTGGCGGGTGTCCTGAGCCCGGAGTTCCTTGGGACCTGCGGGGGAGCAGCCCACAGACTCAGGCGACGGGTCGTGTCTGTTGCCTTGGCCTTGGCCGCTGGGAGCCTAACCTTGACGTGACTGCTACTTCAGCCCGGCCCACAGGTGATGGGCAGTGTGCCAGGCACAGAGCAGGGCTCCCTGCGCTTGGGGGGACCAGCCTGAGGAGGACGCCCCTCCTCGAGAAGGCTGCACCTCCCCGTGTCGTTGAGACTCTTAACTGCTGCAGAGGGACTCCCTTGCTGACGGGACACCCCCTTATTTCACAGGGGTCCAGTCGGCCGCAGTCAACGTCATCTGTGAACTGGCCAGGCGTAACCCCAAAAACTACCTTTCCCTTGCCCCTCTGTTCTTCAAGCTGATGACCTCCTCAACCAACAACTGGGTCCTCATCAAGATTATCAAACTGGCAAGTATCCCTCCTGACCTTCCCTTCCTCGCCACACAAAACGGCCCCGGCCTGTCCTAGGAGTCCCCTGGGCATGTGGGCGCGGGTCGGAGTCCGCACGGTTCTGTTCCTGCCACGAGTGACCCCCCGGCTTCTGTCGTCCCTAGTTTGGTGCTCTGACCCCCTTGGAGCCAAGGTTGGGCAAGAAGCTGATCGAGCCTCTCACCAACCTGATCCACAGGTGAGCCCTCGACCCCCACGTGACCTCGTCTGCCGCACGCAGCCCTGTGCCCCCTCTGGGCCCTCGGGGGGACCCGGGGAGAGTCTTGGTGGCAAGAAGCAAACACACGCCATGGGACTTGGCTCCGGACCGTGAGCTGTGCCACCGAGGCTCGTGCCGGCCCCCCCGGGACACTGGGGGCTGTGAATCCGTTTTGGAAACAGCACCAGTGAAAACAAAAGGAGGGAAGACCCCTAGCTCACCAGTAGGCCCTGGCCGTCTGGCTGGGTCTCTGGCCAGTTCCGGAATGTTGCAAGAGCTCCCACTCCACTCGGGGTGCCTGCGCTTGAATCACGGACGCCGAGTGGCAGATGGCACCAGAGATCTGCTCTCCAGGGGACCTGGGAGGATGGGCGGCGGGAGGAACGGGGGTTTCATGGCCGCATCAGACCTAGCGCCACGTGCCCTGCGTGAGGCCTTGGGCTCAGAGCATCTTCGGTTTTAAACAACAGGCATCTTTGCATGTGGTGCGGCTCTGTGGTCTTCAGAGGGGATTAACAGGAAGCCATGAGTCTCGTGACGATGGTGTGGACGGGCTGATGGCCCCTGTTCTCTGGGACAGGTGGCGGCCACGCTGTCAGGTTTAGGTGACTCGGGATCAAGAGCGTCACCTCGGAGGATGTCAGAGTGGAGTAGACGCACCTGGTGCCTGCCCGTGGGTGTCACCCTGGGCTGTACTGGACGCCCCCAGGGGAAGCACTGGGGCCACGGACGTCTGTGCTGTGCCCACCTGTGTGTGGGCCCCTGAGGCGGGGCAGGGGGCCGTCCCAGGTCCGGAGAGACATTTAGGGCAGGTGGCATTCCCTCACGGACATCACAAAACGGGTTCTGGGGACATCAGAGGTCACCGCCGGTGGTTAGAAAGGGAGGCTAGTGTCCCCCGGGGACTGCCGCGGACCCAGGCGATGGGAGCGTGCGGGGCCACCAGGCCTGCCTCCGCCTTGGGCCTCCCAGTCCTCACCCTCTGCTCTTCCTCCGCCAGCACATCCGCCATGTCTCTTCTGTACGAGTGCGTGAACACCGTCATCGCAGGTGAGGGGCCCGCCCTCCCCCATCGGGACCCCCGGGGGCCACAACCGGCCGTAGGACACATACGCCCAGGGCCCCTGCCCGCCTCCGGCCTCCAGTGCCGTGTCCTGCCGCCCTCGGCCATGCACCTCCCCTGCCAGCAAGGCTCTCCTTCCTGAGTATTCTAGAGCGAGGCTCCGGCCCCGTGCCATCCCCCGTGAACTCTCGAGCACAGAACCTACCACGGGAAGGTTTCACAGGGCGGGATCGGAAGGCGCTTCCCTGGCTTGAGTCCGGCTGCAGGCCACACAGAGCGCTGGGGGGTGCGTCTGTCCCTCTACCTGCTGTGTTTGGCGGAGCCAGAGTCGCCCACAGGCCGGCTGGCCTTGTCCTAGTTTGCCGTCTGGGTCACTTGTTCCTGGATGTAGTGGCCCATGGGTTCACCTGCTCTCTGCCTGATTATCTGGCCAAAGCTTTTGGGAAGGCAGCCTTCTGGTCCCTCTTCACAGCCCCGGGGACAGCCTGAAATTCATTCACAGGAGGCTGGCCCAGGGTCCACACTTTGTGATTGGAACTGCGTGGACCATGGGTGTTCAGAGGCTCAGTGACACTAGTAGAAAGGGAGGGCGGGCGGGTGGGCATTGGGGCAGGCTGGCACCCAGAGGCAGCCAACGCAGAACCTGGAGAGGTTTCTCTGTGTCTGGAGATGTCGATGGGGGAAACCGAGGTGTGGCAGGATCAGAGCTATCCTTGGTGACAGGCAGGAGATCTGGGAGGAGTAGGCCAGGGCGGGCCTGGCACGTTGCAGGGTCGTGGGTCTCAGGTGGGGGTGGAGCAGGCTCTGGAAATTGCCCTGGACGGGGGTGCCTGCCTCGGGGCTCTCTGTGTTCTTGGCCACAGAGACCCAGCGCCCAGGTTCTCACCGAGGGTCGGTCAGCAGGCACCTCTGCCGGGCTCGGGCAGAGACCCCAGACCCCAGGAGGGGAGCAGGTCCTCGGCCCAAAACTCCTGTCTGCACAGACAGCTCCGGGACACGAGCCCCCTGCCGGCAAGGGCGGCAGGAGCCCCGGAGTCAGGTTCCAAACGCGGTCTCATAAGCCGGCCTGTCCTGGGAGAGTGCCAGGCGTGCCCATGCTATGTGGTGCCCCGACCGATGCCCCCAGAGGACGTGGGGCGAGGACCGGCGAGTCCCTGAGACGAGGTTTTCTGTTTCAGTGCTCATCTCTCTGTCCTCCGGCATGCCGAACCACAGCGCCAGCATCCAGGTACGCCCCCCGCCGCCACCCCCCTGACTATCCCGACGCGTCGTGCCCTGCGCCAGGCCCTGTGCAACACGCGTCTATGGAGTTGACAAGGGAGCAAGGGGAACACACGTTTGTGCCCCTGGAGTGTGTACGTGGGCGGTCCCCAAACTGTGTCCCTGTTGGAGCCCACAGGCTGCCCTCCTGCCGCGTGGAGTGGAGCCGGGTGTCCCCCTGCCCCTCCTGATCCCAGGACCTGTGAGCGGGACCAGGGCGCGAGGCAGGCCTGGGATCATGGGATTCGCTGTTGTCTCAGAGGCGTGATCATTGTCTCCTTCCCCTCTGCAGCTCTGTGTCCAGAAATTGAGGATATTGATAGAAGACTCCGACCAGAACTGTGAGTTCCTCTCTGTACCTGCACCCGGAGCCTGTGTGGCGCTGGGGCTCTCGATCCCGCACGAGCACAGGCGCTGGGAGTCTTCCGCTGTGCCCCCCCAGTGTGCGCGGGGTGCCACGGGTTTCGGCAGCGTTTTAAAGAAGCCAGTCTTCGTCCGCTTGGCCGCAGCCCCTGCCCGCCGCCCTCGTGCGCCGCCGTCTCAGTGTGTGGCTCAGTGGCGACGGCCCCTCCCGCGTTCAGCCGGCGGAGTTTGAGACTGCGGGTCGTGTGCCCACGCCTCTGGGGGGGTGCGACCCGGGCGAGGTCCCTGAGCCCCAGTTCCAGCGTGGAGCTGAGGGGGCTGCTGGGGAGACGCAGTCGGGGGCTCAGAGGAGAGCTGCAGGGTGAGGCCCGGAGCCGCACTGATGTCTCCTGCCTGAGGCCTCCCCGGGACCGTCCAGGGGGGCTGGCTCCCCCGTTGGCCTTGCTCGTGCGCCCGCGTGTTCTGTAGACATGCTCCATCAGGGCTTCTGGCCTGTCACGCGCCCCGGAGCCCGGACCGGAGCGCCAGGGGCTCCTGAGGGCCCGGGAGCACTGGCTCCACGTTTTCAGTCCAGATCTGTTGGCAGCAGGGGCTGCCGGACCTGTCCCGCGAAGGGCCGGACAGGGCCCCGTCGCCCCCACCGTCGTGACCACGGGCCACATGCTCACGCCAGGCTTTTACAGAAACAGGCTCTGTTGGGACCTGGCCCGTGGAGGCCCACGCTTCACTGCCCTGCTTTGGCGACCCCGTGTGTGGGTTGCTCAGGGGGAGACGGTGGCGCCCCGCATGCGGGAGGTCACCTGGCCTGCAGCGCCCACTGTTGAGGACACCCGGGGGCCAGCGTGCGGCCCGTCCCGGCGGCGTCCACGTCGTCGCTGTCTCCGCACAGGCCCCGAGGGCTGTGAAGGCGCGTCCGTGCTAACGGTGTCTCGCCGTCTCCGCAGTGAAATACCTGGGCCTGCTGGCCATGTCCAAGATCCTCAGGACGCACCCCAAGTCCGTGCAGGCCCACAAGGACCTCGTCCTGCAGTGTCTGGACGACAAGGACGAGTCCATCCGCCTGCGGGCCCTCGACCTCCTGTACGGAATGGTGTGTGCCCCGCCCCGGTCTGTGCTCCCCGCTCCCCACGCCCGTCCCCGGGCTCCTGCCGCACCAGCTCCTCCCCCCCCCCCCCCCCCAGGTGTCCAAGAAGAACCTGGTGGAGATCGTCAAAAAGCTGATGAGCCACGTGGACAAGGCCGAGGGCACGACCTACCGCGACGAGCTGCTCACCAAGATCATCGACATCTGCAGCCAGTGCAACTACCAGCACATCACCAACTTCCAGTGGTCCGTGCCCCACAGCCCCGGGGGGCGGGCGCCGGCGCGGGGCGCGCTCCTCAAGGGCTCCCTCCCGCAGGTACATCGGCGTCCTGGTGGAGCTGACCCGGCTGGAAGGCACCCGCCACGGCCACCTCATCGCCGCGCAGATGCTGGACGTGGCCATCCGCGTGAAGGCCATCCGCAAGTTCGCCGTGTCGCAGATGTCCGCGCTGCTCGACAGCGCCCACCTGGTGGCCAGCAGCACCCAGCGCAACGGCATCTGCGAGGTGCTCTACGCGGCCGCCTGGATCTGCGGGGAGTTCTCCGAGTGAGTGCGCTCCCCAGGGAGAGGCGTGCCGGTCGACCCGCGTCCCCGGTTCCCTGGCGGCTGCCCCAGGGCCCCCTTCCTGGGCCGCTGTCTCTGGGGACAGCGCGGCTTTAAGCGCACATTTCCGACCACGAGCCCCAGCGAGGAGCCGGTCACGGCGTGGCCCGGGGTGACGGGGTTTCTCTCCAGTGTCCTCTCCTCTCTGCCCGTCGCAGCCGCGGATGTTTTGTCGCCACAACGATGCTGTCGAGCTGGTTTTGTTTTCTTTTCTTTTTTTTTTTTTTTTTTTTTTTTTTTTTTTTTTTTGTGCTGCTACCCCGTCGTCGTCCCGTCGTTGCTGTGGCTTCTTCCCTAGAGTCCTGTCCATCTGCCCTGGTGCCTGGGGATGGGGGAGCGCCCACGTGACCCCTGTGGCGGGGCGGCCTGCTCATCAGGCCCTTCTTGTCCGCAGGCACCTGCAGGAGCCCCAGCAGACCCTCGAGGCCATGCTGCGGCCTAAAGTCACTACCCTACCCGGCCACATCCAGGCCGTGTACGTGCAGAACGTGGTCAAGCTCTACGCGTCCATCCTGCAGCAGAAGGAGCAGGCGGCGGAGCCGGAGGCGGCCCAGGACGTCACCCAGCTCATGGTGGAGCGGCTGCCCCAGTTTGTGCAGAGCGCGGACCTGGAGGTCCAGGAGCGGGTGAGCGTTTCTTGGGGGGTCTGCCTCCGGAAGAGCCTGTGTCTCTCGTTTGTGGCTGGCTTCGCCTTTCCCAGAGGGCATCTTGGGAGAAATCTGCTTTCCGGGGCTCCCTCCCGGCCCCGGGGATGTGGGCGGCGGGGGAGGCCCCAGTTGGTCCTCTGCAGGTGGAGTGCAGCGAGAAGGGGGCAGGTCGTGAGAGAAAGAACGAGTGGGAGGTGCCGGCCTGCAAGGGAAGTATCGGAATCAAGCCGGTTGGCAGCAGGTTCCTGGGTGGGGTGGCGGGTGGCCGGGGACCGGGCTGCTTGCTGCGGGGAGACTGGTCTGGCACGTGCTGCATATAGCAGGCGGGTGGGAGGGAGCTCGGGGTGGCCGTTTCTGGTGCCCCGGGGGCAGCGGAGGGCTCTCAGTTATCCAGACCTCACAGAAGCGTTCAGTGCCCCGGCCTCGAGCCCTGCGTCAGGCTGGGAGCCGCACTCGAGCCGAGTCCCAGGTCGGAGTCCGCAGAGGACGGGCAGCACAGCGGCGCCCGGTGCCTCTTGGAAGTTGCTGTTTGGGGTTGTCTGGGTCTCGGAGGACAGTGCTGTCTCTGCTTGTGACTCTGTCTTGTTTGGGGGCCCGTTTCAGTCTTTGTCTCCTGCAGACTGACACGGCGGCCAGGGCCAGTATCTTCCTCCCCGGGTGCTTCTTTGTGGCCCGTGGTTTCTCTCGGTGCCTTTGGTATATACGTACACACGTGTATATTTTCTTCACGTTTGTTTTGAGAGAGCGCATGCGCACAGCAGAGGGGCTCAGAGAGAGAGGGGACAGGGGACGTAAAGCAGGCTCTATGTTGACAGCAGATAGCCCGATGTGGGGCTTGAACTCACCAGCCTTGAGATCAGGGCCTGAGCCGAAACTGGACACTTAACTGAGCCCACTCTCGTGCTGCTCTCAGTGCCTTCTAGATGTTCTCAGTAGGGTCAGACGAGAGGCAGCCACTCTCCTGGGCTGGGCAATGCATTAGGGTGCTAAGTGGCCTACAGGGCCAGTCCTCCGTGACCAAACTGTGACTCCCCTGTGGTATCCTCAGGCGTCCTGCGTCTTGCAGCTGGTCAAGCACATCCAGAAGCTTCAGGCCAAGGACGTGCCGGTAGCAGAAGAAGTGAGTGCCCTCTTTGCTGGAGAGCTGAACCCAGTGGCTCCCAAGGCGCAGAAGAAGGTTCCAGTTCCTGAAGGGTGAGCTGCACGGCCTGTCAGAGGACATAGGCCAGGATGGCAGGAAGAGCAGTGAAAGAACCACAGTGGGGTCTTGACTGGTGTCCCTGTCCCAGCTGCCGCCCCCCGGAAGTAGACGGGGCAGCCCTTGCCTACAGATACCGGGTATGATGAGCCGGCACGGGGTCCCCAGAACACAAGGAGGGTCTCGAGGGGCCCGTAGACTCTCACTGGACAGCCATGATCTCAAGTGGCGGCCTAGCTTTTGCGTCCTCGTCTCCGAGAGGACAGGGGTGTCCCTGTCTCATCTGCCCCATGAGCGTGCGAGGCTGGCACTTGGGCTGGAGCTGCCTTGTGACCTCCCGCATCTTACAGCCTGGACCTGGACGCTTGGATCAATGAGCCGCCCTCGGACAGCGAGTCTGAGGACGAGAAGCCCAAGGCCATCTTCCACGACGAGGAGCAGCGCCATGCCAAGCAGCGGCAGCCGGAGGCAGAGGAGGAGGAGCTGGCCCGGGTGAGCACCGGGTGCGGGGAGGCCGGGCTTTGTTCCCACTGGGGCCTCCGGGGCGGACGGCCTCGCCCAGAGCAGACCCTGGACCCTGACCCCCCAGGTGGCTGAGCATGTTCCTGTCCTGTCCTGTCCGATCTGAGCTTTGTCCCAGTACCCTCAGGGGAGCACTGAGCCATCCTGGGAGGTCTGGGTTGGGTTTTGTGCAAATGAAAAGTGGTTTCTTTTAAGGCCTGAGCTTCTCAGAGAGAGTCATGGGGCCTGGTTTGGCATGCAGGGGGTTTCACTCGTGCCTTCCGGGTGGAGGGTTTTATTGTCTTTTATTTAAAAAAAAACCTTTTTTAATGGTTATCTTGGGGGGAGAGAGAGCGAGAGAGCGCATGTGCTCACGTGCACGAGCGGGGGAGGGCAGAGAGAAAGGGAGGCACAGACTCTGAAGCAGCTCCAGGCTCTGAGCTGTCAGCACAGAGCCCAACGTAGGGCTCGAACTCCCGGACCGTGATATCGTGAGCTGAGCCAAAGTTGGACGCTTAACCGACTGAGCCACCCAGGCCACGCCCTTGGAAGATTTTATTTTACTTTAAAAAATGTTTTTTTGGGGGGCACCTGGGTGGCTCAGTCGGTTAAGCATCCGACTTCAGCTCAGGTCACGATCTCGCGGTCTGTGAGTTCGAGCCCCGCATCAGGCTCTGGGCTGACGGCTCAGAGCCTGGAGCCTGCTTCCGATTCAGTGTCTCCCTCGCTCTCTGCCCCTCCCCCATTGACGCTCTGTCTCTCTGTCTCAAAAATAAACGTTAAAAAAAAAAAAAAGTTTTTTCTTAATGTTTATCATCCAGCTGGGAGAGAGAGACTGGGACAGCGTGAGTGGGGGAGGGGCAGAGAGAGAGAGAGAGAGAGAGACAGGATCTGAAAGAGGTTCCAGGCTCTGAGCTGTCAGCACAGAGCCTGACACGGGGCTCGAACTCATGAATTGTGAGATCGTGAGCTGAGCCGAAGTCAGACGCTCAACGCACTGAGCCCTGTGGGCGCCCCTCCGGTGGAGGGTTTTATAACAACATGCAGCATTCAGACAGCTCAGGAAAGCCCAGAGATGCTGCATCCCCTCAGCTCCCCACCACACCATGCCTTATCGTCCTGAAATAAGGGGTCCCCTCGTGGCCTGTCCTGCTCTCCTCCTGCCCGTCTGCAGGCTGAGCCTTCAGGCAGTGTGATCTGACCCCCAGCTCAGCTCTTCTTTGTTACCGAGCGACCTCAAGACAGCTCACCCAACCTCTCTGAGCTCCCATCCTTGAAACAGAAGGCCATCTCCACATCCTGGGGTCTTTTCTGAGCTCTTGCTGTCCCCCCACTTGTTCCTGCTGCGGTCTCCCTATTGGTCAAGGGCCACCAGTAAAGTACTGGGGCATTCCGGGCCCGCCTGGGGCCTGGAACATGGACGCAGTCCGTGCCTGGAAGGGAGGGTCTGTTCCACGTGCATTCACTGACTTGCACTTCAAATCCTGTCCCTGCAGCGTCGAGAAGCCCGGAAGCAGGAACAGGCTAACAACCCTTTCTACATCAAAAGTTCCCCATCTCCCCAAAAGGTGAGGCTGGCCCCAGGTCGTCCTTGAGAGACACTCCCCTCCCCCGAGCCCCACAGCGCCCCCATCCGCTCTCGGGAGGACACCAGGGGCCCCCAGCTCCAGGCCAGTGTTTGGTTGTCACAGTAGGTCCACGTGGCCCAACTGCCAGGTGGGTCTGAGCACCAAGACCTGGGAGCAGGTGTGGATGTGGGGTATTCCACATGACTAGAACGTTCTAGATCTTAATCCAGGTGGTGCCTGCTGTCTTCCTCCGTGTCTTCCCCCCGCTGGGCTCCCCCTGGTAGACGCAGCTCTGTATGGGTGCTCCCTTGCCCGCCTCTGGGGATTGCCGGGTCACCTCGTGGCTCCGCTCGACTTTCTGAGGGGCCGAGGTGGCCCACACCTGGCGTGCACCCTCACCAGCGCCTGTGATGTCTGACTTTGATTTTAGCGCTCGCAGGGGTTTCGGGCTGCATTGCTTTTCTAACTTGAAGTAGGTGACCCAGACAGAAAGCTGTGCCTCGGCCCTGTGCCTGTTGGTGCTGACGGACCGTTCCCCAGTCTTTAGGGGGCTGTGCTCCCCAGGATGCCCCGTCGCATCTGCAGGGGTCCCGCACACCGCCGGCTGCGTGCGTGTGTCATCCTGGGCTGTGGCCCCACCTCAGGCGTCTCCGTCTGTCCATGCGTCCCGCCCGGTAATGCTCACTGCTTGCTTCTCCAGCGGTACCAGGACATGCCCGGAGTGGAACATATACCCGTGGTGCAGATAGACCTCTCGGTGCCCCTGAAAGTGCCAGGCAAGTATTGGCACAGGCGGTGTGAGCCCTGGGAACCCATGAGCGAGGGGGTGGGGGCCCGAGTCTGGGTCCCGGATGCTGCCGAGGGGCAGCCTTACCAGCCCCGGACCTGCCCCCTCCTGCATCCTTGGCTGGAGTAGTTTCCAGATTGGAGGGTGAGTGGGGGGGGGTACACGCCAAGGGCCCCAGCCTCTCCATGCTGGCGCCGCCTCATTTCTCCCTGGACCCTGCCGCGCCCCCGACCGCCACCCCCACCCCTGCCACTGCGCGCCCGCACGTCCGCACTCGGAAAGCCTCTGCCTGCTCCCGGGCAGCCACGGTGGCAGCCCCTGTGAGCTCCCTCGCCCCCTTTTAGCGCAGACCACGGTGGGCCGTGGGCCGCTCGCCCTGCTGAGCCCCCAGGGGCCACCCTCCCGCACGTGGCTCTCGGGGCCAGGGCGGCGCTGAGCACCGTGGGGCGCACGCCTGCAGGGATGCCCGTGTCGGACCAGTACGTGAAGCTGCAGGAGGAGAGGGAGCACCGGCAGAGGCTGGAGAAGGACAGGAGGCGGAGGAAGAAGAAGGACAAGGACAAGAGGGGCAAGCCGCGGCGCCACAGCTCGCTGCACACAGAGAGCGACGAGGACATCGCCCCGGCGCAGCGGGTGGACATCGTCACCGAGGAGATGCCTGAGGTCGGCCCGCTGGGGCCACGACGGGCGGGGAGCGGGTTCCCTCCACGGGCAGGTATCCCGCGGGCACCACCGCCGCTCCGGGGCCGCGCTCGGGCGGGCCTTCCCGTCACTGGCCTTCTCGGGGGGGCCCCTGGCGTCCCGACCTCTTGCCTGCGGAGTGCCCGTGGGGGCGGGGGACTTCGCAGACCCCGGGGGGCTCGGGCCGGACGGACTGGATGCGCTTTCTCTCTCCCCTCAGAACGCTCTCCCCAGCGACGAGGACGACAAAGACCCCAACGACCCTTACAGGGCCCTGGACGTCGACCTGGACAGGTAAGCACGGGGGCGGAGCCGGGCCGTCCTGTTTCCTGTGTCCCCGTCAATTGCTCGCCGTGACGCACCCGCCTGCCCCCAGGCCCCTGGCCGACAGCGAGAGGCTGCCCGTCCAGAAACACAGAAACGCCGAGGCTACCAAGTCCCTCGAAAAGGAGGACGTCCGTGTCGTGGAGAAGAAGGTCAAAAAGCCCAGGAAGAAAGAGAAGAAGCACAGAGAGAAAGAGCGAGAGAAGAAGGCGAAGAGGAAGGAGAAGGAGGAGAAGGAGGAGAAGGAGGTGGGCGCGGGCAGCCGGGTGCAGGGACCCCGCAGCCCCCCACGCTGAACGCCACATCGCCCCGCGCCGGCCCGCGTGGCCACGGTGGGGCAGGCCCGGGGGTCGTGCTGGTGGGCGGCCGTCAGGGGCTGCCCGCCGTGGCGCCGGTAGGGCGGGAGGTGCCGCCCGGTCTCCCCGTGCGCGGGTCCCCCGGAGCCAGGGCGGCCGCGTCCGGTCAGGGCGGCGCCGCCCGTGCTCCTCTGGAGCCTGCGTTGCTGCTTCACCGAAGGCACGTCTTCCTGTGGTTCCAGGGCGAGGACTTCGATTTCTGGCTGTCCACCGCCCCGCTGCCCGCCACGGCCCCGGCCCCGGCCCTGGTAAGAGCCCGGTGGCCTGTGCCGGCCCCACCCGGTCCTCCACTGGAGACACGGGTGCACGTCCGGGCTGTCCGCCCCAAGGTTGCGTGGGCGCACAGACCAGCAAGGTTGGGGCCGGCCCAGCCGGTGGCTGTAGGAACGGCCCCCGGCCCCGCCTGCAGCCCCTCGGCCGGGCCTGGCCGCCTCTCCACCCTGGCGGCCGTGCGCTTCGGTGCCGACCGGATGCCCCGTGTGCTGAGGGAGGCCGGGCCGGGATGCGGGGCTGGGGGCGCAGAGGACACCCTGTCCCCGGTGCCAGTTGCCCCCTCAAGCCCCGCTGCCCGGCTTCCTGCAGGGAGAGCCTGGAGCGAACACCGTCACCGCTGCCCCTGAGGGAGGGGGCGAGGAGCCCAGGAGAGAAGAGCGAGGCGACGAGGACGAGGACGGAGACAACGAGCGGGACCCCGAGAAGGTGAGGGCACGTGCCTTGGCTGCCCTCGTGGGGTGGCCGCGTGGCTGTGCAGGAGAGGGTCGTTCCCGAATCCCGCAAAGGGGGGTCATGGGGGTCCTGGTGGCGGCTTCTCGTTTTTACGTCTTACTCGGTAGTAACTCACCTGTGGGAAGTCGCGCCTTTTCACAGTCTGTGGTTCAGGGGCGTTCGCCGTGTTGCGTTACCATCACCAGTGCCTAATTCCAGAACATTCCCTCTCCCCAAAAGAAACCACATCCCCACCGTAGTCACCCCCCACCCCCCTCCCCAGCCCTGGCCCCCACGAGCTCCCTTCCTGTCCCCGGATGAACCCGTTCTGGACATTTCACCCACGTGGACTCACACCCCGCGTGGCCCCTCGTGTCTGGTCCCCTCCCTGAGCGTCGTGTGTTCGGGGTCCGTCCTCGGGCAGTGGGTGCGGACGCCTTGTTTCTGCTTGCGGCCGAGGGACGTGCGGGTGTGCGGTGGACAGGTGCGTGTCCGTTCACCCACTAAAGTTTTCACCTCTTGGTTGTCGTGAGTCGTGTTCCTGCGAGCGTGTGTGTGTGGTTTTTGGCGTGGACGTGTGTTCTCGTGCCTGCGCTGAGGAGCTGCCGGGCCACGTGTCCACGTGTGGGTTCTGGCTGGTCTCCCTGTGCGTTTTCACCCGTCGGCGGTGAGCCGCTAGGTCCTCGCCTGCTCCCCACAGACCCGGGGGTTGCTGGTCTGTGCACTCCGCTGCGCGGGCTGTCGAGTGGCCTCGGTGCGTGTCGTGCCTCGCTGGGCAGCGGCGGCCAGAGAGCGCCGAGCGTCGAGCCTGGTCTCTCTGCTGCAGAAGGCTTCGAAGCATAAGAAGAAGAGGCACAAGAAGGAGAAGGAGGAGAGACCCAAGGACAAGAAGAAACCCGAGAAGAAGCAGCCTCCAGGTGAAGAGGCGGCAGAGCCCGTGGAGAACGGCGCGCTCGCTGACGAGCCTCTCCCGGTGAGGGGTACTTCACTCGCCCCCCGCGGGCCGGAGGCGCCCCCACGGCCCGCCGAGGCCTCGACGCAGGGACAGACCCGGGCCGAGTCTAGGAGCCGCGTCTGCGGGCCGGCGGGCAGTGGGGCCTCGGTGGGCGCGGGCGGGTGACCCCGGGGCTGTGGGCGTCGGGGGGGTGGTGCTCTCGTGTGGCGGGACGTCCCCGAGGTGCAGGCGTGCGCTGCCCGGGGGACCCCCGGGGGCTCCCCGCACCCCGCTTCTCGTCGGTCCCGATGTTCCCACTGGAGCACTTGGCAGCTGGCGACGGGCCTGGCCCGGCCCGGCCCGGCCCGTGAGCCGCTGCCGCCGCCCTCGGGTTCTCGCTGGCCGAAGCTGAGCGTTTTCCTCTCTTCCCAGCCCATGTCCAGCTACTGCCTCCTGGCCGAGAACTCCTACATCAAGATGGTAGGTGCTGTGGGCATTGCAGGGGGGCTGGGGCGGCCTTGGGCTCCTTTCTCGGGGCGTGAGGAGGGACGCGGCCCCGAGGGCCGACGTGATGGCCAGCGGCTCTCAGAGAAAGGGCGGGAGCGGCCGGGACCACGGATGGAACCGGAGTGGTTTCCCTCGCATGAGGGTTCGAGTACTTTCCCCTCTCGGACGCGTCGTACGTTTCCACGGCGGGGTTGCCGGCACTCCCAGGCCCCTCGTGCGGGCCCCGGAGGCTGAGGCCGGCCTTGCCCTGCAGACCTACGACATCCAGGGCAGCCTGCAGAAGGACAGCCAGGTCACCGTGTCCATCGTCCTGGAGAACCAGAGCAGCAGCTTCCTGAAGGGCATGGAGTTCAACGTGCTGGACTCGCTCAACACCAGGCTGGCCCGGCCGGAGGGCTCCTCCGTCCACGACGGCGTCCCCGTGCCTTTCCAATTGCCCCCAGGTACGTGGGCCGTCAGGCAGGGCGTTGGGGCTCCCGCCGACCCAGGTCCTCTCAGTCCCAGGAGCCCCCTTTCCTCCTGTCACCTGCTTCCCGACCGGGGCGGGCAACGCTGAGGACAGGCCCCGGGCGGGGGCAGTGCCGGACCCCAGCTGTGCAGCACCCCATGCCACTCTCGGGACCCACTCTTTGTCCCCTTGTCCTCTTCCAGGCATCTCCAACGAGGCCCAGTTTGTATTCACCATTCAGAGTATCGTCATGGCCCAGAAGCTCAAGGGGACCCTGTCCTTCATTGCCAAGGTAACGGGGCTGGAGGCGGGGCCCAGAGCCCACGGACGCGTCCGCGGGCCCAGAGCACCCGGCCCCCTGGGCCCTCCTCACCCCGTGCCCCCACTCCCACAGAACGATGAAGGGTCGACCCACGAGAAGCTGGACTTCAAGCTGCACTTCAGCTGTACCTCGTACTTGGTCACGACGCCCTGCTACAGGTGCGTGGTGCCCACCTCCCTCCTGCTTCCGCTCGTCGCGCAGTTAGCCGGCAGACACCCTCGGCCTAAGGCAGGAGGGCCCAGTCTGCCGTTGGCGCAGAAGGTTGGCTCCGGCGAGCGTCCGCCAGCCCGGGCCACGTGGCAGATACACGCCTCGTGGCCCAGGCGGCAGACGGGTTCTCTCCTGGTGCCAGAGGCCAGAGGCCGCGATGGAGGGTCGGCAGGGCTAGATGCTTTTCGTGCCACACTTGTTGGCGTGCAGATGCCGTCTTCTCCGCGTGTCCTCACGCGGTCGTCCCTCTGCGTGTCTGCGTCCTGATCTCTTTTTAGAAGGACGTTGGTCTTACTGGTTTAGGACCCTGTTTCCAAATACAGTCACATCCTGAGGTCCAGGGGTCGGGAGTCAACATAGGAATTTGGGGGACGCGGGTTAGCCCGTGACATCGTACAGGACCGTCAGAGACCTCGAGCCGCAGGCACACGAAGGGAGGTATCACGCCTGGGGCTGGGGGCCTACCGGTTGTCAGCCTCCCTGTCCTGTTTCCTTCTCACAGTGACGCCTTTGCCAAGTTGCTGGAGTCTGGGGACCTGAGCATGAGCTCAATCAAAGTCGACGGCATTAGTATGTCCTTCCAGAACCTTCTAGCAAAGATCTGTTTTCATCATCATTTTTCCGGTAAGGCCTCCGACGTGGCCGGCAGATGGGGCGGCTTCACGCGTGCACGTTCGGCCCTCTGCCCCCGGCGGGCCGGCCCGGGCCTCAGCCTGCGCCCTCTGTTGCAGTGGTGGAGAGAGTGGACTCCTGCGCCTCCATGTACAGCCGCTCCATCCAGGGCCACCACGTCTGCCTCCTGGTGAAGAAGGTGAGCCCCGGCCCCCCCGTGCTCTCAAGGCCCCGGGGCTTCTTGGGTTTCGGCGTCTCGCTGAGCTCAGACCGCCTGTTTCGCTGAGGGCTCATGAGCCTGCCTCTGAGAGGAGGCCGGCCACCCGCTTACCCGGCCTGGTCTTGGCGTCAGGCCTGGCAGCCCGCCCGTCGGGAGTCGGGAGGGGTGCCCGGTCCTGGGGCGCCTCCTCACCCGGTCCTTGGGCTCTCCAGGGGAGCCGTCTGGGCCTGGGGGCGGCCTCGGTGAAAGTTTCCATCGGGCTGTGTCGGGTCCTTTCCTCGGCAGCCGTGGGTCCTCGGTCCACGAGCCGCTTCTCGGGCCGGCCGCGGGCCGGCCGCGGTGGCGTATGGTCCCTCCGCCCGAGGCGCCGAGTCTGCGTGGGTTGTCTTCCGTGGGTCTCTTCCGTGGCGCCCAGTGGGTCCCAGCGGCACCTTCCTTCGCTCCTGATGGTGACACTTTGTGTCTTTTCTCGTTATTCTTGGCCGTCCTGGCGGGAGGTTTATCGTTTTTCTTGATTTTTTTCAAAGGTGAATTTAAAAGCTACCCTTTTAGGAACTTTGTTTTTTTAAGGCAATAAATAAATTTTGTTCAGCTTTGTTCTGTCCCTCCTTTTTTCTGCCTGCTTTGGGCTTATTTTCTGTTTTGCATGTTTGTTCAGGTAGGAGCTGAGGTTTTCCTTCTTTCACGAAGAGTTTAATGCTTCATTTTCCTTGAAGCCGTGCTTTAGCTGAACGCCACGGGTGTTTAAATGTTTCGTGTTTATGTCTAAACGGTTCTAACGTTTTCTGATTCCTGCTCCCAGGTCCTGTAGAGTGCACGGGTCACTTAGAAGCGTGTTGTTTGGTTTCCCGTGTTTGGATGGCTTTTGCTTCGGATTTGTAGCATGCTGCCACCGTGGTTGGGGGACACGCCGCTTCTGATTTCGGTCCTTTGAAAGTATTGAGATTTGCGTTCTGGCCCTGGACGTGGTCATTCGTGGCAGGGGTGGTGCTCGCGGATGCGTGGAGGCAGTGAGTGTTCTGCTGGTGGAGCGGGCCCCGCTGGTGGTGGTCTCGGTTCTTCTGGGCCCTTGGAGTCTGTGTTGCCGGCCCGGCGGCTGCCTGAGTGGGTGGTGTGAGGTTAGTGACAGTCAGGTTGTCTGTCCCCCCGGAGCTGTCGGGTTCGCTCTGTGTGTCTGCTGTTAGGTGTGTGGACCGAGAAAGTCGTGGCGTCTTGACATATGCACCTGTTTGTTTATCCGTGTCGACCTCCTTCTTTATCTCGGGTTGTTTTCTCTGCTGCGAAGTTCTCCGGTCTGATGTTGGACACAAAGCCACTCTCACTTTCTCGTGATGGGTGCTGACGTGCGTGTCTTCTTGAGCGCGCCCTTCCTGTGTTGGAAGGCGTTCTCACGGGTGGGTGCCGTCATCCCACTGACGACCCCGGGTCTCCTCCTCCGTCTGGTCTTCCGCTTCTCCCCTGCCCTCCCTCTCCTGCACACGCCATGCCACCCGCTCCACACCTGCCTCCAGCCGCTTCTGGGACAGGCCTGGGGGCCGCGGAGCCTCGTCCAGGGCTAGTTTTGCTGGGCGCGTTAGCTTGGCGGATCTTTGTCTCAGTGTTTTATTTTTATTTTTTTTTTATTTTTTTTTTTTTGTCTCAGTGTTTTAAAATCACGCCGCTTCTGGGGTGCCTTGGCGGGCTCAGTCAGTGGAGGGCGTGGCTTGATCTCGGGGCTCTAGAGTTGAAGCCCCACGCTGGGTATAGAGAGGACTCGCTTTTTTTAATACTTATTTTTGAGAGAGAGAGACAGAGCATGAACAGGGGAAGGGCAGAGAGAGGCAAAGAGAGACACGGAATCTCTCCAGGCTCCAGGCTCCAAGCTGTCAGCACAGAGCGTGACCAGGGGCTTGAACTTGTGAACCACCAGATCCTGGCCTGAGCCAAAGTCGGACGCTTAACCGACTGAGCCGCTCCGGTGCCTCGAGAGGACTTAAAAGTAAAATCTTCCAGAAGATCGTCACACTGCCTCGTTTCACAGTCACGGTTCCTGGACGAGAGCTGCACCCCGTTATTTTTGTCACAGGGAGGCGCCGTCTCCTCTCCAGGTTTTTCTTGGTTGTCAGCCTCCAGCAGGTCACGGCGTGTCTGGCGCGGACTTCTCCGGGTCTGTCAGGAGTGTGCTATGCCTCTTGAGTGTTTGCAAAATTCTGGAAGTTTCCCGCTGTTACTTAAGTCCTTTCTTAGCGCCGGGTTCTTCTTACAGCAGGGCCTGCCTGGCCCCGCCCTCTGCCGTGCTAGCCATTCTGCCCGTGGGCCCACCCGTGGGTGTCTCGTTTTGACGACTGTGTATTCCAGGTCTGGAACGTCCGCCGGGCGTTCTCGAGATCTTGCCTGTCTTGGCTGGGATGTTCCGTCTTCCTGTTGGCTTCAACAGTGCTCCTGACTGCGTGTTGGGGGGTCTTACAGTAGGGACTTACAAGCCTGTGTCCTGTCGGAAGATGCCACGTCCTCCTCGTCCTGGCCTGGCCGTTGGCTGCCTTTTCCACAGAGCTGAGCTGAGGTCTCCCGGGTCTCTGGGTGCTGAGTAACTGGGGCCTTGTTAGTCCCGCGGGGGACACGGCATGGGCTGCAGGTGCCTGACCTCTGGTCCCAGCGCCCGTCTGTCTCTGCGACCTTTGTCCCACTTGTCGGAGCTGCCGCCCGCGGGCACCGGCCCTGGGACCAGGGGGACAGTGGCTCGTGGACACATTTACAGGCCGCTTTCCCCGAGGCCCCCCAGCCAGAAGGCGGACCGTTGCTCACGTACCCCACTTTGGCAAGCCGCTGCCCAGATTGGGGTTCTCCGGTCCCGGCCTCGGTGGGGGCATGGGGCGGGGGGGGCTCCGGGGCACCTCCCTTGTCCGGATTCGCGAAGCACCAGCACCGAGGGAGGTGGTGACAGACACAAACGGCACATTCAGCCACCAGGCGGCCTCTGGGCGTCGCGTTCCACACCCTCCACAGTCCTGACGGCCATTTCCCTTCTCCAGGGGGAGAAGTCCGTGTCGGTGGACGGGAAGTGCAGCGACGCGACGCTGCTGAGCAACCTGCTGGCGGAGATGAAAGCGACGCTGGCCGAGTGCTGAGCCCGGCCCCCTGCCCCCACCCCGGCCCCCGCTCGGGTCGCGAGGGGACACGCTGTGCTGACGCGTCTTGTCGGCGTTCCTACTCTGCCTCTTCCCATCTCTTCAGCGAGGAGCCCCGAGGCTGCCCGAGGAGCCGGCCACGGCGCCCAGTGGACCGTGCGGGGTGGCGCGCCCTAATCCCGCGAGGCCACCTGAGTGCCCCACGGCCCCCACACTCCCTGTCTGGGGGCGCCTGCTCACCCTCCTCCCTCGCGGCCGCGGGCCAGGACACCCGGTGGCCCCGGGGCCGTGCAGGCTGCTGTCGTGTTCCCCGCGTCCCACCCACGTGTTCATGCGTTGCAACGGCTGCCACCCGGGGTGGGGTCTAGTCGGGATCCCTGACGGAGTGGGGCCTGGACCTTGTTGGTTTACATTGCTTTCCTGTCCAGTGAAATGTGTCTCGGTCGGTGGTGTTTGGTGAGTGGTGGGGACTGTTTGGGATCCCAGGTCCCTCCTGTCGCCGAACGCTCCCCAGGCTTTGTCCCACACCGTGCCCGCAGCTGCGGGGAAGGCCCGGTCCTGGGGGGGGCCCCGGCCCCTGGAATGCACCTCACGGGGCGGGGCAAGGGGACCCCGGACCACCCCGTCAGAGATGATGGTCCTAAATGACGTTAACTTCCTTTTGACGAACACTGTCACTTTAGCATGTAGGGTAATCTATTACAGAATCCTGTGCAGTGATTCCAGAACCTCAGAACTGTATGATGTGTTCGATAAGAATTGATTTGCTATCGACATTCCCAGATAAAGGAGAGAGAGACATATCACGCTGCTGTAATGATTTTGTGTCGAGATGATCCAATAAACTTGTAACACAGACATTTGTCTGTCGCACCTCCTGTCTGTGCCGGTGTGCACACCCGGTAACAAGAGGGACTCCGGACCATCCTCGAGCTGCCTGGGGCACCCTCGGGAGGTCACACAGCGTGCTGGGGATCCCTGTCCCCACCTGCGAGTGCGCCCTTCCCTTCATGATGGAGGTGAGGTCATCCCCACACACGGGCCAAGCCCCAGCAGGGAGCCACCACCCCACCCACGGGAGGTCCACCAACATCGCAGACCGCACCCTCCTTCCCCTTCCCAGGGAACCCCACTAGCGGCGGGTGTGTAGGTGAGTGGCAGAAGCAGGTGCTGGAAGGCAGGCCCTGCCCGTGCTTCAGTTTGCCACACTGCCACTGCCTTTACTGACGCCACGTGGCCAAGGGACAATTCAGGACCAGTAAGGCTGGGTCAGCAGACGGAAAGCCGTCCGACCCCTACGTGGACCCGGTGCTGGGCAGCCCCCGCCTTCCACCAGCTTAGCTTCTCTTCCTGATAATCACCCGCCCGAGCCAGACCCCTCGCGGGTCCCTCCGCTCCCTGACCAGCACTGGGGCAGCAGAGGCCACATTGACACCTTGAGGCCATTGTTGGCCGGTAAGACCACCGGCCTGCACGGCCTGCCGGAGCGGTGTTCCACGCCCACCTGGCCCTGCGGACTCTTCTGACCTCCGTGTACCTGCTCCTGGCAGGACTAGTCCCCGACTTCTCGTCTTCCAGGCCCATCAAGCCATTTACCGTGGGTCTCGTAACGCACATGAGTGTTTGCGAAAGGAAACGACGTGCTAGGGACGCTTCCTGTGCTCCTTCGGCTGAGGTTTAGCCCGGCGTGGCGAGTCAAGAGCACCTGCTCGCGCCAGAGGCTTGGGTCTGTCAGGCCTGCCCGGCTGTGTTGAGACGGGTTGCGGTACAATTCGTATGGAAATCCCGGGGCCGTCAGCCCTGCCCCGGTGCCCATGACCGGGATGTGCCTTTCCTGGGGACCCAGCCCTGGTTGCCCCAACACGGATACTCTGTGATGAGAAACGGGGACGTTTAATCATTGCCTCTAATAGCCCTGCGGCTCCGCCCGGCGGTGATGCACTCTATATACAAAGCCATGCGCCCTTCCCGGCCCCAGTCCCAGCCTCTGATGGCAGTGCAGGGACTCAAGGCAGCAGTGAGCCTGCTCCGGGGGGTCAGGCTGGGGCAGTCCAGCTGAGTCCTGGCTCCACCTCGAGGCTAGGGCCAGTCTGGCGATGGCCGGTGGCCGTCAGTGCTGTGTCAGGCACTCGGAAGCATTTTCCAGGGTCAAGTTGGCCAGGTGTGGGGGCTCAAGACATGTGAAGCTTGGTGACATCAGACTGTTGGGGGAGACATGGGTGCCCTCAGCTCTTCTCTCCCTGCTCTACCTCCCCCCCACCCCAAACCAAGGTCTTTGCTACAGGCCTGGGGCATGTGACAGGGCTGCAGACAACCCTCAAAGCTCAACTTGGAGGTCTCGTGGCCTGTACCCATCCCCTAAACAGCATCGGGGTCGAGCCCAACTCTCTTGCAAGGGGCTGCAAAAAGGGGGTGGGAGGCTGCGGCAAGCTGGCCATTGGGTTTTGATCTCTGGCTTAGGCTCGACCCTGCCTACAGAGTCCACCCAGGTCCTCAGAGCCTCCCTCCTTTGCGCCACTCACAAAGCTGGAGTGGTTCTGTGCATCCAGGAGAGGGGAGGAAGATCCGATGTTTATTCGAAGTGATCACTTGGGTGTGGTTGCAGGGGTGACGTCCAGCTTGTCCCAGGTGCAGAGAGAGCCCTGCCGGCTGTGTCTCCCTAGCCAGCCCCTCCCCGTCCATCCCTGACTTAGAGGCCCCCGTGCCACCCCTTTCCTGACTCCCTCGTGCTCCCCTCCAGAAGGCCAGGCCAGGGTTTTGGAGAGAACAGACGGGGGGGGGGGGGGGGGCCTTACCTTGTGTGGTCGTCCTGTCTGAAAGACATGACAGGGTCCCAGTTAGACCCAAGCTTTAGGGCTGTGCTGTGCCTGTGGCCCCCAAGTCCCTCCACTGGGGCACATCCATCATGGCCGCCCCCCCCCCCCCCAGCTCTGACCACAGCCCTGCCAGCTGCTTAGGGCAGGGGTAGGACCAGACTCTATGGAAACCTTTAACTTGGGTGTTGCGCCCCCTGGTGCCAGCTGAGCACAGAGGAAGGGCGGGCTGGGGTCCTGAGCACTGGAGCAGGTGCCGCCTCCTGTGTATATCCTCCGCATACTCACCCGCAAGGGCACATAAGCACACCGCCTCTGATACAAGTCATGCTGGGTTTGGGGACAGGGGACTTACTTGTGCCACTTATTTCTACAACGACAGCAGGATTGGAATCAGAACGTCAGGCGTGGAGGGGAAGGTCCCCTCCCTGAGCCCAGGGGCCCCAACTCACATGTACTGGAGGAGGCCCTGCACAGCTGTTTCCCACTGTGCCGATGACCTGTGGGCACACAGGGCGTGCAGACGGGGCGCCCCAAATCCAGAACTCAGGGCCTGCCGAGGGGCTACCACCCCACCCGACCCCGGTGGAGACAGGCCAGGGAGGAACAGGGAGGGTCCCAGGAGAGCCTCAGACCCACGGGCACAGGGCCCTTGCTGGTCACCACCCGAGCCTGAGCCCTACTCGCAGTTGTAGCCAAAGCAGACGACGTGCGAGTCCGTGCAGTTGGTACAGGAGATGGTCTCGTACTGGAAGATGCCTGCAACACAGGAGAGGCGGCCGCAGGCTCCCCCCGCCTCGGCCTCCAGGGCTGCTGCCACCGCTGTGCCCCACGGACCGGGCAGGGGCTCACTCACCACAGTGACGCTGACAGTCGATGCGGCCTGTGTGGGGACGAGGGCACTGACGGCAATTGTTCCCCGCCCCCACCTACCCTTTTTATTATTTTTAATTTTTTTTTTAGTGTTTGTTTTTAAGAGAGAGAGAGAGAGAGAGAGAGCACAAGTAGGGGAGGGACAGAGAGAGACGGAGACACAGAACCCGAAGCAGGCTCCAGGCTCCGAGCTGTCAGCACAGAGCCGGACGCGGGGCTCGAACTCACGAACCGTGAGATCATGGCCTGAGCCCAAGTCGACACCTAACCGACTGAGCCCCCCCCCAAGCGACCCCCGACCCAGCCTTCTTGCCCTGCCAGAGGCTCACCTAGGGTTAGGCTGGCTCTCAGCCTGGGAGGAGGGTAGCAGCCCTACTCAGCCGCTTCTCCAGGGACTGGCTGGGGGAGGGCTGGGGTTTATCCAGACCGCCTGCTGGTGCCCACGGGAAGGAAGGGCCCCTGCCTCAGGGAGCTGCCCTTCCTTCTCTCTGTTGGGAGCCGGCTGCACTGAGCCAGAAGCCCCAGTCCTGTCACGCCAGCCTCTGCCACCCCCTGGCCGGGGCCCCTGGCTCCGGAGGGACTTCTGAAATACCCCCGCTCCCCAAGCCCTTCCTTTGCTCACTTTCGATGATTGCATTCTGGATGAGGTGCACCTGCTCCCGAAAGATGGCTCGCAGCTCGTTGGGGAAGTACCCTGTGGGGGTAGGCAGGAGGGAGGTCGGCCTCCGGCGCTGGGCGGAGGGGAGCTGTCTCGGGGTCCGCGCGCGCGCGCGGCGCCCGCCCCCTTACCGGGGAAATACATCTTCCCCTGGTACAGCTGATCCATCTTCTGGTACACGGCGTTCGCCACTTGGTTCAGCTTCTCCCGGGCTGGAGGCCGGAGAGGGAGGCCGGTGAGCTGCGCGGGTCGGGGTCAGGCCGGGGTCTGGCGGGAGTCTGGCCGGGCCGGGGGGCGCGCCCGGGCGGGGCCCCGCACTCACTGATCTCCGCGGGGATGGCCAGGTGCAGCTCCTTCATCGTGTCCTGGCTCCAGTCGCTGAGCAGCAAGCCCGACACGGGGATGTCGCCCACCCACCAGGACTTGAGATTCACGTGATGGCGGTAGAAGGAGAACTTCTCCGAGAAGTTGCCGTGACAGTGCAGGCAGCCGCGGGCCAGCGCCACGGTCAGGCCGAGGCACAGCAGCAGAGCCATGGCCCGCCCGCCAACCAACCAACGGCGCCTCCCGCGCCACGCCCCCAGCGCCGGCCTCGCCCGCGCAACGGACAACGGGCTGCACCGGCCCCGCCTCCGGCCCCGCCCCCACGCCGCGCCCCATGCCCGCGCGCACGGCACGCGCACGCGCACGCTCTCCCTTCTGGGCTGGCCCTGTTTCGCGGATCCGCTCGCGCTCCTGGCACTGCGCCAGCCCCACCGGTCGGCCTTGAGCCCCTGGCCCGGGCCAATGACGTCACCGCCCGTTTCCGGTTGCCCGGCAACAGAGAGCGCAGCGGCGGGGAGCATTCCCCTCCCCCCCGCTCTAGGCCTCGCCCCCTTCGGCTCCGCTTCCGGGGAGGCCTAGGCCGGTAGCGGAAGTGGACCTGGCTGGGCGGGGCGGCGGGGGCGGGCCGTGGGCGCTGTTCCTCCTGGGAGGCGGAGGGGACCGGACGGAAGACGCCGGACGCGGGGCAGGCGCGAGACCCGCCCGACCGGTGGGGGCGTGAGACCGCAGGTGGGTCCTCCGAGGGACGGACGCGGGCGGCGGGGAGGCCGGGTCCCCGGGGAGCGGCGGATGGGAGAGGTACGATGGGCGTGAACTTTTGCCTATCGCACACCCCGCGAGTCCACTTGCACTTTCTGGTTGTGGACTTGATTCTGGACACATGGTCCCAGCCAGCTGCTTCCTCATTCCTGCCTTCTTCCACCCCACGTAAAGTTCGGGGGCTCCTATTGGCCCGGTTACAGGTTCAGCGGGGAGTGGTAACAAAGGTCCCAGGCCTGGCCAACGTCAGGACAGGGCCCTGCAGTCTCCCCCAGGTCCTGACCCCCATGCTTGCGAGTTGACACGCTCAAGACTGCTCAACCCCTGCGTTTTTGGGGTCGCCTGGGGGTGGTCTGTAATCTACAGATTCCCAGTGGGATGCAGCAAGTGGAAGTGCCCGCTGCCCCTGCCCCATTCGGGCGCCCGCCTCCTCCCCTCCCTGCTGGGGGCACCCACCTCAGACAACAGCCATGCATCACTCCAGTCTCCCCACACGTGGCTTCCTCTCTCATTCACCCCTCCAGAGCCGAGCTGTCCCGTGCCACAGCCGCTGGCCATGTGTGGCCAGTGTGCACTTGGAACGTGCCTCGTGCAAACTGGGGTGTGCCGCACGTGCCAAATACAAGTCTTGGAGACAAAGTCTGTTTAACAACAAAAAGTAAAAGGGGTCTGTGACGTTTTGTGTCCGTTAGGTGTCGAGATGTATTTGGCATTTTGGGGCTAAATGCCATACGGTATTAACAGCGACTTCACCTGCTTCCTGTCACTTTTGCGCTTTTCACTGAGGCTCCTGGATAATTTGAAACTGTGCCTGTGGCAGATGTCACATTTCTAGTGCTTTTTCTGACATCCTGTCCGCGGATGTGTATCCAACTCCTGTTTCCCAGGATTCGTTGTCCGCCGCGGCTTTAGGTGTTTCCTAAATAGAGTGAACTATTGGAAGATTTAACCAAATGCTTGGTGGATCGTAATTGAATCAACCTTACTCATAATTTTAAGTCGAGTTTATTTTTTTAGAGCAGCTTTAGGCTCACAACAAAACTGAGTGGAAGGTACAGGAAATTTCGACCCTGGCCACTTAGCAGGATTCCCTGCAGCACTTTCTCCCCATAAACGCACCGGCGGCCCCATTATCGACATCCCCACCCAGCACTGAACGTGACGAACCACGGTCCACAGCGGACACGAGGTCACTCCTGGTGCGGCACACCCCGTGGGTTCGGACGAATGTCACGGACACCTGCCCACCACCACGGTGTCGTCCGGAGTAGACCCACGGCCCCGAAATTCCTGTGCTCCCCCCATTCACCCTCCCCCACCCCGGCAGCCGTGCCTCCGTGGTCCTGCCTTGTCCAGAACATCCTGGACTTGGAACCACCCCGTGTGTGGCCTCCTCAGCCTGGCTTCTGTCACCCAGTGCTGTGCGTCTGAGGCTCCTCCGTGTCTCTGTGCGGCTCGATGGCTTACTTTTTACTTGAACTTTCGTAAAGGAGAGAGCGCCGTTACCATCTTTACCCCGCACAGCGCTGAGCATGGTGTTCGAGTACCAGACGCCCTTGGTAACCTGACGGGTTGAATTCTAGGTACGCCTCCCTCTGTCTCAGCAGAAGCAAAAGTGGTTATTTTAGTCCCTCAGGGGCTTCTCAGAAATGCCAGTGCCGTTCCCGAATCTTTTCTGAACAGTTTTAAGTCTCTTTGTTTCGTACGTACAAAATGCCCCAAAGCCAAGACGGCTCAGTGAAAAGTCAGCCTTTAATCATGTTTCCGGGCGCTGTTCTCTCTTCCCCAGCACTTCATACGGTGGGGGTTTTACAAAAATTCCCCAGGCAGCCGGCTTAGAAGTTGGGCTTTTACTCTGGGAAGTTTTAGACACGCCCCAGCTGGAGGGCCCCGTTCCTGATTTCCTAGAATTTCGAGGTCCGGATTGCTTAAGCGAAAAAGGGGAATCCAACGTCAGAAACCCGATTCTGGGAAGGAGACGGGCGTTTCTGTGTCTCCGGAGTTCAAAATAAGACATCTGTGACTGGGTCACTCTGGGGGTGCGCGGGCGCTGTGGGGGCTGAGCACCGTTCCGGGCCCCCGTGCTCGATGCCAGGAACACCCCAGTCGTGACGGCCACAGACGTCTCCAGACATGGCCCACTGTCCCTGGAGACGGAGCGGCCCCCGGCGAGACCCTGGCACAGCTGGGAGCTAGGCACAGCACCCTGGAGAGAGCGCCATCTGTGAGTGGATGGGCCTGGCCTGCTGTGGACACACTGTGTCCGTTTCAGACCACGGTCTTCTCAGAGTCCAGTCCACATCCTGAGCATCCTGACGTTAAAAGGAAGCTTGGTCAGTCAGCTAGTGGAGTCTGCGTCGGGACGGGAGCGGAGCAGCTTCCCCCGCTGACCTGCAGGCCTCTGCTCAGTGAAAGGGCCCCTTGAAACCTCAGGCGGAGGCCTAGAAGGAAGAGGCGCGGCTCCTGAGCAGACAGCCACCCCTGGTCTCTGTCACACTGTGCTTTCTGTCCCCAGGGGACACGGTTTCGTCACAGTCCTTGTATATCTGCCTCTGTGGCAGGAGAGGCCCGGCGTCCGCGGCGGCCCCAGTGCACCCAGCACCCCCTTGAAGCGCAGGCAGGGGGCGCGGGAGTCCTGGGCTCAGATCCCCAGCCCGCCCCCTACTTGCCCTGCGATCTGCCCCTCAAAGCTCCAGGGAGGGCCCTTCCTGCCTCTCCCAGCTCCTGGGGGTCACAGGCCATCCTGGGCATCCCTCGGCTTGCGACGCATCCACGGTCACATGGCCGACGTCTCCGAGTGTTTGTCCGGATTTCCCGGTTCTCATAAAGATGTGTGTCCTTGGATTTAGGGCCACCCTCTCCGGTATGACTTCATCTTGACATCTGCAAAGATTCGTTTCCCAACAAGGGCTCACTCACAGGTGCCAGTGGTTAGGGCTTGAACATCCGTTTGGGGGGGACGCGATTCCACCCATGATAGACAGATGGGGAGTGACTGCTGATGGGCAGTCTTTTGAGGTGATGAGAACGTTCTGGAATTAGTGGTGATGATTGCACTCTTCTGTGATCTTACTAAAAACCGTTGAATTGTGTACCTTAAGTTACTTACGTGTGAACTGTATCACAATTGGTTAAAACATAAAAGAACTACCAGGAGGGCGGGAGTATATAGAACCCCTCGATGGCACCCGGCCTGGAGTGATCTCTGCAAACCACTTCCTGCAGGACAAGTTGGGGAACTTGGCCCCGAAAACAAAGACATGTGGGCTGGATGCCAGCAAAGCCGCACACCCTGGGTGGGGGGCTGGGGGCTGGGGCCACCTTTGTGTGAGTCCCGCAGGACGGCAGGTGGCCTTCCCACTCAGCCAGCGGTGGGGACACTGAGAAGACAGCGCTGGGGGGTGTGGCCTTTGACAGGACAGAGCCTGGGCTTCCAGCACCTTCCAGCCAAACCTCAGCCGCTAGGCCAGGAGCCGGGGTTTGCTGATCTGGAACATATGGGACTGACCTCTGAGGCTGGGGCTTGTTTGTCTGGAGCCCCAGCTCCAGGGCAGGGTCCCCTTAGCGGCAGCATGTCAGGGCCAGGGCCAGGGCAGGGTGTGGGGGCACCGGAAGGAAGCGGCAGCCGCAGCTCTGGGCCTCTCCGGGGCGGGGGGGGGGGGGGGGGGGGGGGGGGGGG